GCCTCTATAGAAATTCAGGTACTAAAGAGTTTTTTACACTGTAAGGAGATTAATTTCTCAAGCACAATCCTATTTGTGTATTTGTATCTTCATTTCTTGCTGTCACAATCTGCAACATGTTTTGGAGCATCCCACCTCCCACCTTTCCCCCTCCCTGTGATAATGACACATTAAATTTAGACATAAAAGAACTGAAACAGTGATAAGCCACAATTAAATGACTAACTGTATCTTGGAATGAATACGTTCTATTAGTCATAGCAAGTTATGATCAAAAAGGCAGTACCAGACACTTGGAAGAGGTCAAGTACAATAGGCTGAGCCCTGCATCTATTTTCCTCTCCTACCATCAGAGGCTGCCTGTGGACACTTAGAAAGTCTTATCTGGAATGAAGTGAAAGATAAACAAATGGAAGGTCTTTGTACTAGGATATAAATTGCTAAATTACTGTCAGAACTTTCTATATAGCAGCTTCATGGCTTTGTCAGTGTACCCAGAACAACATAGGACAGACAGAGTACAAACTGAAAACCTGCCCTGCATTCTGGGTAAGCAGTTAGTAGTTCGAATGCTGTAAGTCTCGCAGTAGAAATACATGAACCAGTTCACATCAGAACTTCAGCTACAATCACAGCTTTTTCTGTGTCAACACATCTATAGATAAGCAGCATTTGACACAATAAAAGACTGAAGTCTTTATTATTAAGTTCCCTCAAACCCTCTTTTATCCATCTTTGTCATTATTCCTTGAATGTATCCTTTTCCCATTTCATTCTATTTAAGCCTTTTTCCTGTCTTCAAAAATTTCATTCTTATGCCCAAATTGTTCTTGCAGCACATTTCTACCACAAATACTGTGTCAGTTCCAGTATTGGAACTGTCTTACCAAATTTAGTGGCAAATTTAAAACACAGCCAGAAAGTTACGCTGTTTCACTATGAACTCTGCTTTTACAGTATGAATTGTCTGCAGCATGGATGGATTTTTTTTAGATTGCAAACTGTAACATTAGGGAGTGATTGTGTATCTTACAGAAAGACAAGTACACCAACAGAACTTAATAAAGAAACAAAGGTTTCAGTTTTCACATTCCAAACAGAATATAACTTTGCAGTTGCCAAATCTTGGTTCTTAAAGTCTCTGTGATTTCCTCACGCTCTTTAGCTTTCTTCAGTACCCTTTCAAACAGTCATTGAAGACAGCTGATTTTGTAGGCAAAGGAAAGATGTTAAATCTCACCTCATTGGAAAAGAGGTTTGATACAGTGTCCTCTCAAAAATCCTAAGTTAAGCTGATGAAAAGAGGAACAGTTGGAGGGATGTATGATGGATAAAGAATTGTTTCCAGGACAGAAAGTAAAAAATAGTGTTGAAAGGAAGTGTCATATTGAAGGTAGCTTGCTAATAATGTTTTTCAGCAGACAAGTTTTTTACTAATTCTGTGTAACATTTCTAATAATTGCATTGGTATTTGTATCTGGAATTTGTGAGGAAATCTGTTGAAAGCAGAAAGTATATAGTATTATAGAAACACCTCAGAAGAATAACCGGGTAATATTCATGATAGAATAGTAGATATGCACTGAAATCTGTCATCTCAAAATGTAATAATTTAAAAAGTGCAACAAATATAGGCTGGAAATTGGAATAGAGTATCTTGCCTCAATCTGGATTAAAAGCAGCCTTTCAACGTGTTTAGGGTTCTTTTCCATTCTCTTTTTTTGGTGCTCAAATTGTTTGTGAGAAGAGTTTCACGATACAATGCCTGTAAAAAAGGGCAATTCGGTACAGTGATTTAGGGATCTTTTCTGAGGCTGCTTCTACTCTTACATAAAAGAGCTATGTCTCAATATCAACATACCTCTGTAGAAAAAAAAGGATCAGTATGCTTCTTTAATGGAGGAGTTGGTGTTGAAGTGATGTGTTGGCATCATCCAGCCTGCAGAATTAGCACCTTTGCCCAAATCTTCCATCATCAGTAAATCTTCACTGAACTTAAGCTATCATGTTTTATACAACTATGGCTATTATCTTTAAACTTGCTATAGCAACTTATGTATGCAGATACAATAGATCCTTATCTTTGCAGAATGTGAGCTGGAAAGGATAAGAGGAAAAGAGCTTTTACACTGGAAGCCAAAGTGGTTTGGGTATTATTTCTTTCATAATGTAATTTGTAATTACATTACATTATTTGTAATAAACTGTAAATGCCCTCTGGACTCTTCTTACTACAGAAACTGATATAGTGTGTTTAATATTCTGTTCTGCATGCTGAACTTGACTTTCTACTCTCTTCCTCACCAGAAGAATACAAAAAGTTTTACTGCTTATGCTTAAGAGTAATTTTCCTGTTATTCCAAACAAAAATAGAGCATTGACAGCAAATGATGGGTTGTACGCTTCCTTTTTTTTTTTTTTTTTTTTTTTTTTTTTTTTTAAAGAGCAGATAAAGAGCTGCTGTGAAAACAGGCTTACAGCTTCATCTTTATACAGTTAAAATTTCAGTTACACCTTGCATAGTATTCAGCATCAGCTTTTCCAGCATTTTCTTGCTTAGGAATAAATAAAGCAGCACAAGAAGAATCTCTATGCTTTATTTTTTTGAATGATTGTACCACTGTGTATAAAATACATTACCTATGAGTTTTAAGTAGCCTGTACATCTGTAAGATCATTACCAAAATAAATATACTTGTAGTGATGGAATATGTGGTCAACTTGCAAAACTGAACTTCTCTATTTCTGTAGTTATGAAACTAGACACCTTCAAATGTTGTGTTTAGACCATACCAAAGTAAATTGTTATGTCACATGAACATGCTCTGAAGATTGTGTTAGGGCAATTTAGATACCTTCTGAGAATTTTTTTTTGGCTTAATTTAGTAGTACAGAGTTCTGTTTTAAGCATCTTGGTAAGAAAAATTTGTTACAGTGGTTTAGGTTTTTATTGTAAAAGAAGTCAAAGTGACTCTAGCACATAGAAACAAGGGAACAGCAGAGCAATCGTGAAACAGAGCCAAATGTAAATTTACCAGAATACTTCTTTAGCCTATGATTTTATTTTCGGAGTAGGATTCCAGTATAAAGTAGAATAGGAGGCAACAAGGATGGGGAAGACACCTAGTCGGCAGAAGTAACAAGGCAATAAAACACTATCATATTAGCAAAGGAGAATTAAAAAGTTTTGTTAAAGAAAGAAGCTAAGTGAAAGCTAAAAGCAGTTGCATTCAAGAATTTTTGTAGGTGACCTTGTACTCTAGACAGGTTGGTCTGACATTCTATTTCAATTTTATTCACCTCATACACTCTAATTCCAGCACCAATGCAATTGGTTTCACTTCTTTGCTAATGTTAGAACTGAGCTAACCATAGAGAATCACATCTCATTCCTGAGAATGGACTTAATGCAGCTTCCTCTGAAGCACTAGGTCATATCTATTGTCACATGGTAGTACTGGAGATGTAGGACTTGTACAAGTCAACATTGCTTATGTTACTCCAGTAAAGCGTTTAGTTGTGTGAATCTCTCATAGAAAAACTTGCCCTCCCTTATCCTTTTTCTTTGGAGTATGTATGCATACAGCCATTTGAGGTGCCCTGTTTATTCTTTTAAACCAGGAAAAGTCTACAAAGTTTGCCAGCAAGATTTTAATTTTGAGTCATTTCCACTGCTTCTGCTACGAGGATTCTCAGGAAGTCATACAGATCATGCACCAGCAGCTTCAGCAGCATATTGTTCATCCCCACTCAGGTGCAGATTTAGACATGACAGTCATGAAGTGAATTTGCTGAGCTGCCCTTTTTCTTATTTGTAGAAACTGACCAAAGCCACATGAGGCAACATGCTGAGGAAATGTTAAGGGAAGTACAAATGCGGATAAGGTCTGGTTATGCATAACAATTTTTGCATGTCATTACTTCACGTGGAGTATCTTGCGTCAGTCTTCAGAAAGGGAGCACAATTCCCTCTGAGCTTCACACAGCATTGCAATTCTCTGAATAGAGTACACACACCAGATTATCTTTTGGCCTGGGATCTCTAAGTGAAAAACATCATCACTACAACTTGCTTAGCACTGTCACACCAATATTAAAGTGCCCAGCACTCTGGGCAGCTGTTTTCAAAACTGTAGACTGTCTCTGATGCTATCATAATCTGTATTCATGACCTTAGGACAGTTCTTCAGCATTCTTCTGAGACAGTTTCATTTCTGATAGCTGTTTTGTTTTTGTTTTACCTGCGGTGTGCCTATTGTGTGCCACAGAATTTAATAGTTTGTGAAGTATTTTGAGTTTTTCCAAGTAGTGGCACTGAGGTTAGCATTTCAGATCCCTTGTTTGATTTATCAAATGCATTACCTAGGATGTTCCCTCACTCCCAGCAATGACTGCATATACTTTGCTTAAAAATATCTTCAAGGAGCTACTCTTGTTTTCTGGCCAAGTGAATAAAATAATTCATTACCATGCAGCTTAATTCTACTTGTCCATAAGAGTGATGGGCACATGCATATTACATATTATTCAGAGATGTCTCCAGCTGACATTTAGGTTTCTGGAACTGCTGCTCGAATTCCTAATTCACTGGCCGAATCTTAGGATTACCGTGTACTGTCTGGAAGAGCACAAACTCTGCAAATGCAAATAAACAGTATCTGGAAGACATTAACTGCTATAGCTAGAATATATTAAACTTAAGTTGATGACACTGATAGAAAGGGTTAGGAGTGTCACTGTGTTTGGCACCAAAGCCCTACCCATGCTTGATTGCAGTTATTCCTGTTAACCTTAGAAAAAAATTCCAGAAGCTGATCCCTACTGTCAGCATACCAGTGATCTTCCACCACTTCTCAGAAAGATGCAAGAGATCCCTGCCATATTTCACTGTGCCTACCACCTCTCCTCACCAGAAATCGTTATGAGAAGAAAATACCTGCACACATTTCCCTTTTTTCCACCCTGACACCTGATTGCTTACAGAGACCAGCTCAACTCACCCTCTGTTCTTCTGAGCTTGATGATAGTGAGCAGCACGAAGACACACACAGCCTTTCCAGCAATCTCCATATCAGCTCCTGCTTTCATGGCTCAGGCAGCTCCGTCACTCCATTGCTCTTGCTGCCAGTCTAGCTGTGGTCATGGGGAGTGTTTCTTGACTGCACATACATCCTCAGCAGCCAGTGCTGGTGTTTTCTCTTCCCTCTCCCAGCTCCTCTCCTGGCCGCCTGACTCCTCAATGCTGGAGAGGTTCCTCCTTCTGACTTTTCTGAGCACTAGGCTTCCTGTGCTGAGTGCCTAGGCGAACGCTGAGGAAACATACTAAGCAGCTCTGCCTTCCGTTCATTGGCTCTCCTCAGGAGGCTGATGAGCAAAGATAAACCCTGCAGCGGATCTCAGATGGGGTAAAAATGGAGGAGATTATTCAAGCCTGAGTTTAATATCAAAAAGAAAATCTTTGTCTTGGAGAGCTAGTAAGAAAATTTTTCATCCTCTTTATCACCTCTACACCACTAGTCTAAATGTCTGGCACTTCTTCGACACTGCATTATAGAAAATTACTCCTCCTGTCTTAAGGCTTTCTCCCTTTCTGTTAGAACAACAGAAGGCTTTCAAGACCTTGGGAGGAGAAACTAACTGAGTGAGAAGAAAGAAATACTATTTTACATATTTCTCAACAGAAATTGCACCAATTGTCGCTGACCCACATTTTTCAATGAAAACTGTTGGTTGTTTTTTTTTTTCAGAATAGTATTTTTTCTTTTGATACCACTGTTCCTGTTTCTTCACCTTCTCACTGATTTAGTCATTTCAGATTCAGAGCTTTATTTTTTTTCCTTAAGCTACAGCACTTCCCTGGCATCTGCAGGCCAGCAGCAGAGAGCATTTCAGCTGCCAAAAGTTACAAGTCAGAGTAATTATCACCGAGGACAGAGTCAAAAACAGCAAGGGCAGAAAACAGATCAAAGTCAGCAAGAAACTGAGGTTTTCAGGAACTAAGACTGCACAGCACTTTTGGACATCAACGCCTTTTGTGAATAAGTAAAAAAAAAAACAAACAGAAAACACATAATGACCATATAAAGAAATTCAGACAAGGCAGAAGTTCATTTTTCTTGTTCCTAGAGTCTTACTGTTGATCACAAGTTTGTTTGGCAAGGAGTTCTATAGATTTTTCCCACTTGATTTTTAAATTCAGTTTAACATTCTGATATTTCTCTGCACTATTTTGAGGTTTTCACTATGCTAAGGTTTTCACTATTCATAATAACACCCTGGTTTATTTTTTGACTGTTCAATACTGATCTAGAAATGTGACTAGATAACACATAGCTGTATTCTAGACAAGGGCTTGGAGAGGAAGAGGAGTCATTTCTTTAAGATTAAGATATAAGTTGGGAGAAGGAATTAGGCAACATACAAGTAGTACAAGGCCTTAAATGTGAAATAAATGGTTATAAAACTTGATGCAAAGACCAAGTGAAACTGAAGTGGTATAAATGTGGAAGCTGGACTGGGCTCTGAGCAACCTAGTCTAGCTGTAGATGTCCCTATTCATTGCAGGAAAGTTGGACTATATGACCTTTAAAGATCCCTTCCAACTCAAACAATGTTATGATTCTATATTTGGCAAACTGGATGATTGCTGCATGAAGAGAAATACTTGAAGAATGAAAGATGTATTGGGTTAGATGAGATTTTAGAGGAGATTAAACTACCTTGTTAAAAATGAAAATCTTAGTTTAAATTATCACAGTTAAAGACTTCTGCCATTCCTACAGGAATTCCTTTGGAACCAGAAATTAGCTGAATTCTTTTGCTAGGCAAGTATCATTTAAGATGCCATTAGAAAGCCCTGTGAACAACTTTCTGCTTCAAGCCTGGGTGTTCAGGAACAAGTGAGGCCTCATAGGAGAAGTTAGGACAGAAATCTGAGGATGACAGAGGCTGGAAGCTAAAGTCACAGTGCCTTTTTTTACCCTTGTGAAAGTACTGCTGCAGGCAACAGAATATAGGATGTGAGACAGCAAAGTCTGCAGTGAGATGTTATTGGAAACATCATTTCATGACAGGAAGTGGTGGATCCTTAATTTCTTCTTCCTGTCCTCTCAGTTACAGATTGGAAGCCAGGATTCCATGACAGAGGAATCAATCCCAAGAAGAGCCAAAGTGGGACAGAGGATGACCTAGATGGAAAATAATGCTTGGAAGTGGGGGAGAGGTATCAGGGATTGCTGGCTGCATTTGGAAATGGTTGGCTGGTTTGGAAATATCATTGTATTCGATGAAAAGGAGAAGAAAGAGAGGGACAAACCGATTGTAATAGCTGAGGCTGAAGCCTAAGACGTAAAGACACTTATAGTGAATGCACATTTCTACACAGCAGCAGAGGCTCATTTGTTTAAGGCGCCATGAGGAGCCACTGCAGTCTTCCTTGCATCTGAACATTCCCTGTTTTCTATGTACAGACCATAAAATTTGGGCTTTGCCTGTGGTTTTCAGTGTGGGTTATTGCAGAACCATTTTATGTTCATTATCATAATGTTATCAGATATTATTTGACAAAGGCACTGTCTGTGATCTGCTCTGTTTGAAGTGGTTTTACTCAGCCTTCAAGTCCTTGCTGACAGCAGATTCCACACCAATCACTTGTTCAATAAGAAATGGAGACGTGTAAAGCTGGATTATGACTATCAAGTTACAGACAGAAACAGAATTTTTTCAGGAATTTCATTCCCTGTGCTGATATGAATATCAGTGTGCTGAAACCTCAGCTGGTATAAACTGGTATGCTGGCCTGCATCTTCTTGTGGATCTTCCATGTTTTTTTCCACATGAGAATTCTCCCTGTTGTATCTCCTTCTGTGTCAGCTGAAGACCCTAAATCTTGCAACCGTACACATATAACACAATAGGCTGCACATATACGGGAAAATCCAATTATCTCTGAAGCTCAGAGTGGTTCTGGAAAAGTGTTGGGATTCTCTGTGCTACTGAGAGAGTTGTCTTACAGATTAAGTACACATTCTGGCAATGAAATGCAATGGTCTTGTCTGGGAATTTGGCAAGTAAGCGGAATCAAAGCTGGAATATGTTACATAGCAGCCTTACCCAATGTATAAGGCATCAAAAACACTTCAATTCTTTCAAAGATAGCAATATATGTCACATTTGTCACTGAATTTCCTGCCTTTTGATGACCTGTCTTAGAGCCTAGAACTTGTTACATTTATAATGAAGGAAAAATGATTTCTTATGTTTTATTTGCATCCTCTACAACAAAATACATTAATTTTGAATATAAGGGTGTGTGAAAAAGCAAGCATAAGTATTGGATAGCCTCACTTCTTGTATGGGCAGATGCAAAACTTCTATATCCACCTTGCAAATGCTCTTTACTCCATATGTCTGTTCCTCCTAGTATTCTGGTTTAGAATTTAAACAGAGTTTGTCCAGTCTATCTGGAGTGTGACAGGCCTCCACAAAATATGATCCTTTGAATTGCAATTGCAGGCTTTGTCATTTCAGCATACTGTGCACCAAGGTCGTTTCCTAGCCCAGCACAAGGCAAGTCAATGGCACTATAGCTGGCTGTGGAGATAAAATTTATAAATTTTGTAGCAGTAAAGTGACATGGTATGCTTATAAAGCCGCTTCCTGGTTGTTCTGTGGTTGAGTGTTGTTTATTCCTGGAAACACCCACACACCTGAAAGTCCTGCTGAGAATACGGTTTCATTTACACAACACCTACTGAAGCACAGGTGAACCTGAGATGAAGCCCACATTCCCAGAGTCCTTCTCCCTTCAGGGAAGCTTGCATTGAATAGCAAGACTGAAATTACAAGGCCTGGCTCTGAGTTCAGAGCTGTTGTTCCCACTTTACACACATGCAGGCAAATAGAATTCTACCCATGGTTTCAAAGTATTTCTAGGGGTGCGGTATGGGGAGCTAAGTGCGCTAACCACTTCCCTGCAGCCTAGTCTGAAATTCTGCTTCCTGTGTCTCCTTGGATTCCTGTCTCAAAACCTTCTGTGGGCAATATCTGTGCTTCACACTTTCTAACATCCTGAGCTGGCTTTGAGCTAGCTTTAGAAATGGAAGAGGTACAGACAAGTCAGCAGCACTGTACCTTGCCAGGGCAGAGCAACTTGTTCGTGCAACTAACTGCTGCCCCATGGAGATGAGTGTTCAACACAATGGCATGTCAGCTTACTTGGAGCTAGTTCTGGTATCACTAACATATGCACAATTCTGTTGATGTGGAATGTTGTGGCTCTTTTTCAGCATTAAGATTCCTAAAAACATGTGATTTCTCCAGCTCAAAATTCTTGCGTAAGCAAAGATATCTAGGAGTTTTACCCTGTGATACACTTTGGTTATATCGTAGCCTAGCTCCCAGCAAGACTTGCCTTGAACCCTGCTCCAGATTGTGCAAAGAAGACTGGGTTAGTTGGAGAAGTGCACTGAGGGCGGATGACTGAAAAGTGGGGAGGAAGTGACTCAGAGGACCAGATTAAATGAGACAGATGTTTGGTGAGCAGGAACTTGCAGATGAGCCCTAGCTCCCCTCTGTGCTGGAGATCCAAAACTGGAGTCAGCCCTTCTTTTCTTTAGTCAGGAGGAAAATCTTGCAAGAGGTTGTACTGGAATAAGTCACTGTTAAGGCTCTGCTTTCTCAACAGGAAGTTGTTTCACTTCTCTGATTCCTTAAAATGCTGAGCATTTTTCACTCTATTCTTCTCCATCTGGATCAGAGGACTTCATTTCCATACCACTATTTTAGGTCTCTAGGCTTGTGGGATTGCCTCTTGCCTGAAGATACTTTGGTACAAGTCTGCTTGTCTGCCACACAACCCTTTGACAAAATAAGAGTCCCATTTAGAACCAAGAGCTTTTTGAGGAATGAGACAGGTGAGAAAGTCACCGCTGTGGTGGTCATTGCTGTGTAATGCAATAACTGAGATTCATATTGTGTGCACCTTGGTTTCCATCTGGATGGATGGCGACAGAACCTGTATCACTGGGAAATGTGGTGAGTTCCATGATGACAACAGTCCTAACCTCAGACAGATAAGGCTACTGACACCAGATAGCTGTCTATTTAAAGAAATCATGCACGCAAACAGGATCTCAGTCTCTGTGTAATCCTCTGGTAGCCAGAGTCACAAAAATATAAATAATACAGTCCTGTGAGTGTGATGTTGGGAGTTTTTGGTTAAAGGTGTGGACTTGAGGAGAATGAAACTTGATGTCTTCATTTCCTTAGGGAAGAAAAACTTGAGAGGCAATTTCCGGACTTCTTGTGGATAGTTTTTCCACTGCTTTTTAATTTGCAAACCATATTATTAAAATCTGTTTTGGAATTTAGAAATCCACATACACTAAGCATTAACAGTATTTAGGTTCTTAACTTCTTAACATAGGAAAACTAAAAGCTGGAAGCTATTCTGTTACCTTCCTCCTGCTGCAGAAGGGCTAGTGTTGGAGGCTAAAGCAAGAAAAACACAGATCACAGATCAGTGGACTGTGGACAGAGTCAAATGCCATGGCCTGGTACATTCTGGCATGTTAGTCTGAAGTTGTAGTCCTTGTAAGAGAGATGAGATTGTTTTTCAGTCTTGAATTCCAGCTATCTATACAGCTGTGGAGGAAAGTAAATGAAAATTATGACTTCAAGGTGAAAGAAAAAAGGAAGCTAAGAGAAGCACTTG